AGTTGCAGAACGCATTTGTATATATGTACATGCACACATATGTATGTATGCGTGTTTGCGTTGTTTGTGCCGCCCCACACATGCTAGGTGCCGAAGAAGTTATTATTAAGCGCCACATTTTTCGCTCATCAAGCGGCATACGCGCGAACTTGCCGCTGCATTAATTCCTCTTCCTCCCTTCATTCTCCTCTTCGTTCGCATCCGCCTCCACTGTCACGGTCGTATCGTCGCTTTCATTCGCTACCCCTCCTACTTTTAATGCCCACGGCTGCTGTTCCGGCTGCGCTGACACTGCTGTCGTTAAATGCTCGCTTTTCATTACCTCATCCTCTTCGCGATGGTCCACCGGCAGTTTATCGAGCGCATCGAATATATATTTTAACGTACGCCCAGCGCGTGGCAGCATACCATCGAACCAGCCACCTCGTCGCATTCCATTGCTGTTGCTGGCACTGTCATCATCGATGAAGTCGTCGTCGCCACCGCTCAGTGAACGCGCACCGCCCAAGTAGTCGGTGTAGTCGTAATCGGACACCAGCGGATTTACTTTCGAGTAGTAAATGGCTGCGAAGGTCGAGTAAATGATCAGCAATGCAGTGCCAGTCTGTAAGAGAAGAGAAAAACGGATATAATTTAAATTGGAGACACTTGCAGCGCAAAACAGCAATAAAATATGATTGTATGTATATGTCATGAAAGTACTTTTAATTTCCACCAATTAATAGGCTTTTTTGTAAGCATGTCATGCACGATTCGTAGAAAATGGCGTTTAAGACTTTAGGGCCAGCAAAGAAGACGCATGCCAAAACCAAAATTTATATGTGATATATTCGACCTTAGAAGTATATCGTTTTGGGTATTATTTAAATAAGTCCATAGCGGCATTTGGCCTTGTAGTCTAAGAGCCAGTGAACAGCAGACTGCATGCAATTTCCCAAAGCTAAAATTTTGTTCAGTGGAGGCTTAATACCTCCTCTACTTGGAAGTGAGATTAACTAAGCCCTACAGCGGTTCATACGGCGCCACGCATGTAGCAAAGTTAGAAAATTTAGGCAAACTTCGAAAGCATTTTAATAAGTCTGCCATTTAAGTATTTTAACATTCAATGATACTATTCGAAAATAATACTGGCAGACAATTATGGCGGTTTTGAGATCACTTTTGAAAAAAGGCAAAAAGAAAAATATTCAAATGTATTTCAACAAATCAGAACTTTTAATATTTTACTTATTATAGTATAAGAAGCCTTTATTTATCAGGGCAGACATTCTCTCCGGTAATAATATTTCGGCAGACAGCGAAACCTAACCTATTTTCTTTATTAAATACTCACTTCATGTAAATAAATATGTATGTACCTCATAAGTTTTTCGGATGGCATGGCGTATTAGTTACCTATTAACTCGATATTTTATGAAGAGTAAAGTCGTATACATTGAAGGGGGAAGAAATTCAGTTTATTTAAACTTAGTAGATTAAGGAGGCATTCTAGGGTTGTGCTTTGTTCAGCACTGCCTGCCGAACCAATTCAGACGGGTAATCCTCATCTCTTACATCGATACAGAGTATTCCTCTCTTCATATTTTTGTTTGGGCCGCCTAAAATATACACTATATTTCTTTAGTTTATTTTATGTTTATTATTTTTTTATAAAAGTAGGTAGTATACAACAAACTTCATATAATCCCGCGTTTCAAACTTTGAACCAAAATTATAAAAATTCGAAAACTTTAGACCAAATTTTCAAACTTTTTATTCAGAATTTTTAGATAAATTTTAGAAAAATTTAGCACATCAAAGTGCAGGTTATTGGCTACTAAATACCGTTGATTTTTGAGAATTTTTTAGCTGACGGTGTCACGCATTTTTTTCCCACACAAAGTATGCTCGAAAATTTTTTTATGTGGAAGAGAATGCCTAGCATCGTGAAAAAAAAATTCAAAAATCAACGGTATTTTCTAGCTACTTGAAACTCATACTTTATTATACTAAAATTGAATGGGCTACAAAACTGCATCCCAAACATTTTTCTAAAAATTCTGAATAAAACGTTTGAAAATTTTGCAAAAAAAAAAAAACCTTTTAAATGGAGAATGCTTTCACAGCTTTTCGGAACATAAAGCAAATAAATTTTCTTTTTGTTTAAGATATGGCTTTGAATTTTTAGAAAGCTGTATGCCCTTTTAATGTAGATCGATATTAACGATTTAAATTTATCGGTGATGATCGAAAATAGCAGGTACTTATAGGGGTATAAAAAATACCGATAATGATTTTCGATACCGCTATCGATAAATATCGACCGATTTTATCGATAAATATCTCAATAGTTCTATCGAAATTCGGTATCATTATAATATACATATATGAAGCACAATATTATTTAAACTAACAACAACCAGTTGCAATTCACAATCTTGCCTTCTTCTTAGTCATTTCACTATCTTTAAGCAAACATCTGAAGCATTCTACAGCCGCAATCAGAAGTGAAAAATCTGACCTCATCTGCTGAAGATGACATTTCAATTATAAATTTGCTACTCTAGTAAATACATATTTATATGCAGGCAAAGGTACAAGAAGCTGGCGTGATGCGTACGCCAAAATCAAAGAAAACCAAAAAAGAAAGCCATACGGTTTTGCACATAGCATTTTACCACCTAACCAAAATTTCGTAGACATTTGAAGCATTTTGTTTTTCTTGGGTAGTGCAAGTCTTGCCATCAGTCTATATGAATTTTCAACTGTAAAAATACTTTTTGGTAAAACAGGAAATTCACACTTAAGTTCGTTTTCCGCTTCCCTTAAAAAATTCGCTCATATGTACATTTATCCACGAAAAAAGCTAGTGTGTCAAAATAACCATTCGACCGCAAAATTTTAATTTATTAAGCGCCCTGATGTATGCTACATCTGAAGTAGTACATACTCTTAATTTAAATATTGCATTCTTCTTTACGCCGTTTTCCCCCAATTGCGTTGGTGCACTCAACTGGGCGAAAATGCGCGCTTGGTAGGCAATTAAGTGACCTTACCTGTGCAACAGAACATGCCTGCATGTAGTAAGATTCAAAAAAAAAAACACACACACAAGAACAACAATAACAACCACAACACGATGAGTTGAAAGATGAGTGAAAAAGACGCAGCTGAGTTGCGTTAATTACAACCGCAAGAGAGTATCACATGCAGAAGAATAATTAAAATGGAGCATATCTACTATACACATACATATATAAGTATACAACTGCGCCTATATGTATATGTATGTATGTATATGCTCAGGTATATTTTATATCCAAAATTATGAAAATCGCACTTGTTTGCTGAACATAAAATGTGGCCATAAAGTCTACAGAGAAATGTTGATGAATATGCCGTGAAATACTTTAATTAAAAGAAGAGGAGAAGGAGGAAATAATCAAAAGAAGGTTACCAAAAAAAAAAAAAACACAAAGACGCGCAACTGCATGTTACACTTAAATTAAGCGCAGCCTATCTTGTGTCCTACCAATGCCGCCACTATCTCTCCTGGGTCAAGTCCAACTGTCAACTATACAAAATATATACATAAAAACATATGTACTGTGCTCATATGTACTGTGTTCATATATGGCAACATTTTTGTGCTATTTTTCGTGGCAAAATTTTTCACTTTTACCTTGAATTTCGATGAAAAAGCGGCGGTAATTTTTCTGAGGAAAAACGAAATTTTTCGTCAAAAAACCTAAACCTGTTTTTTGCATAAGCATTGAATGTAAAATTGCACACAAAACCCACACAAACGCATGCATGCGCATGAGCTTTCACACTACGAGTACATTGCTTGGTGGCATCACTTTTGTATTGAGTGCTTTTAGGCGCCCTCATGGAAAATCTCGTTAAATGAATAGTTATTAACATACAGGTGCGCGTTGCAGCAAATGCGCCGAAAAACACATACCATTTGTATGTATGTATGTACCCTCATGGAAGCCACCGCCTGGCATTTTATATGGGTGTATGCGCGTAGGGTTGTGCATTTAAATACATACATACATATACATATATAAGTAAACTTTCATTCAGCGCGCATACCACATGTTTTGTTTACTCCCAGCACGTACACATACACCAACACTCGCATAGCCACACTTTTGCTGCTTAACGCGGTTGTGCTCCACAAAATATGCAACGAAATGGAAAATTCGCGCATTGCACCAGCCACGGCAGAATGGTAACCTCCAAAGAAAACGCGGAATTTTTTGTAAAACCATAATGTTCTTTTAACCATTTCAGCTTTTCTAAGAGTTATTCCACTCAAAAGTAGAGATTGTGAAGGAGTGATAACTGTTCTATTTCTTATATCTAGTGTGGCTCATTTTTATTTAGCTATTTTATTCATGATGATGGTTTTGTCGACCTTTTTACTTTTTAATTTGTTAGATGTGCAGGCTCAAGCTCAAAAATTTTTTAAGTAAATATTTTTAGCAAATTTAAAAATTTACCAAAACTTGGATAAAAATATATATATACATCCATATTGGGAAAAAACATAATTTTGAAGGGAAAATTTAATTGTACAAAAAAAAAGTAATTTTTAAGAAAAAAATATCTAGGATATAGTTAGTTTTTGATTTTTTTGGGAAATGGAGTAATTTTTAGGGAAAAGTCAAATTTTATAGAAAAAATTTTAGAAAACGGAGTTTTTCTAGAAAAAAATGTAGAAATATTTAGAAATTAAACTTGCTAAAAATTATTGTTTTAGGAGCAAAAAAATCTTACCAAAAATATACTTAGCTAAAGCAGGATAAAATTACCAAAAAATTTAATAAATATTTTTTCGGCGAACAAATTTTTTAGAAAAAAATTTTGAGGAAATAGGATTAAGAAAACATATGAGGCATTCCAGCCAAATTAGGACACAATTTGATTTTTGTATTTCTTGTTTTTTTTCATAATTTTTTTTGTTATAGTACCAATTTAAAGAGGCCTTGATTTTTATTTTTGTATACAGCAGTTTTCGAGATGTCGTTTTTCGAAAAAAAAACGTTCCTTTTTTAAATGCCTATAAATATACATATATGCGAAGATTTTACCAATCGGGACAATTTTTTTTTTTAATTTTTTTTTTTTAGAACACTTTTGGAATACAAGACCGAAAAATTTTCAAACCCGTATTCTCTAAAATTTCTATTAGATTTTCAAATTTTTAATACAAAATATTGATTTGAAAAAAAACACGTACAAACCAATTTTCTTGAAAATGTCTTCTAAAAACCTGTCACAAATTCCACAGCTTTCAAACCTGATCCTATAAAATGATAACATCAAGAAGAACTATTTTTCTTTTCAAATTTTAAATTAATAAAAACTAAGAAATTATATCTAACCCAACGCCAAGAACACTGGCTGCGCGTATAAATCTGCGCTTGCTCTAAGTTCTGGGGTGGTTTTGTGCACTTGCCGGAAAGCAAGCTGATATTAGTAAGGCTTCAAGTTCGTTTAGTTGGTTACGGCGCTAACCAAGACGAAGATATAATGCCTGAAAGGTGTTTAGTACTGGGAACTTAAGAGTTAGCGGTAACTAAGATTCTCCTTTGATGACTGAAATTCCAGGTATCA